GGTTGCAGTAAGATGAGATCGCATCACTGCACTCCAGCCTAGACAATAGAGTGAGACCCTGGCCCCCCGCCACACCCCCCTCCGCAAAAGCAAATATAGCATATAACTTTGCAGAAGTTTGGCAACTTAGATAGATTAAATGACCAATACCTCGAAAAGCACAAACTATCAAAACTTAGCCAAGATGATATGGTTCTGTAATCTTTTTTATTTTTTTAGTTCTGTAATTATTAAACAAATTGAATTTGTAATTAAAACCTTCTAAGAGAGATACCGGCACAGATTTTTAGTAAATTCTACCAAACATTTACAGAAGAATTAATACCACTTCTACACAGCCTCTTCCAGAAAATGGAAGAGACAGAAACACTTCCAGTTCATTTTATGAGGTCGTTGTTGCCCTAACAGTTAAACCCACGAAGATGTTACAAAACAAGAAAACTGCAAGCTAATATCTCTTATGAACATAGATATAAACATCCCAAACAAAATGTTAGCAAATCAAATCTAGTTTAGATTTGATATAAAAAGAATGTATTGATATTTGACATATAAAAGAATAATATACCATGACTATGTATATTATATTCCAGAAATGAAAAGCTGCTTTAATATTTGAAAATCAGTCAATATAATCTATCATATTAATAGTCTAAGAAACACCATGTGATCCTATCAATTAATTTAGAAATATGTTTGATAAAATTTAAAATCCATTAATGACTGAAAACTCTCAGGAATCTAAGAATAGAAGAGACTTCCTTGGCTGGACATGATGGCTCATACCTGTAATCCCGGCACTTTGGGAGGCCAAGGCCGGTGGATAGCTTGAGACCAGGAGTTCAAGACCAGCCTGGGCAACATAGCGAGATTCCTGTCTCTATTAAAGTAAGAAATTTTAAAAAGGAAGAGGTTTCCTCAGGCTGATAAAGGATAGCTTTAAAAACCCTGCTAATATTGTTCTTAATGGTGACTGAATGCTTTCTTCCAGTGATTAGGAAAAAGGCAAAGATACTTGCTTTTACCACTACTATTCAGCATTATAGTTTAAGTCCTTATCAGTACAACGAGGCAAGAAAGACAAATAGATTGGAGACATGGAAATAAAGTAGATTGTCCTTTAATTCTTTTAAGTGTGTTTTCCATAGAGCAAAAGTTTTAAATTTTGATGCAGTCCAATTTGCCAATTTTTTCTCTTACAGATATGCATTGGGTGTCATGTTCAAGGACTCTTTGCTGGACCCCAAGTCATGTTCTCCTATGGTTTTTTCCTAAACATTTTTATAATTTTTAAAGTTATTTTTTGTATAAGGTGTGAGGTTTGGATCCAGACTGATTTTTAAAAAATTTTTTGCACGTGAATATTCAATTGTTCCAACAACATTTGTTGTTTGTTTGAGATAGAGTCTGACTCTGTTGCCCAAGTTGGAGTGCACTGGCATGATCTTGTCTGACTGCAGCCTCCGCTTCTTGGGTTCAGGCAATTCTCCTGCCTCAGCCTCCTGAGTAGCTGGGATTACAGGCGTGCCCACCATGCCCAGCTACTTTTTGTATTTTTAGTAGAGACAGGGTTTTACCATGTTGGCCAGGCTGGTGTTGAACTCCTGACCTCAAGTGATCCACCCACCATGAACTCTCAAAATATTGGGATTACAGGCATGAGCCGCAGCGCCCAGCCCCACAACTTTTGTGTAAAAGACTATGCCAGACACTAAAGTGGTAGAAATAGACTTTAATTAGCTCTTCCATAGAGCCTGGAAGATGGGGCCTTATCGTCAGATGTTGGCTGGAACAAATAGTAAATTCTTCTGGCAATCTTGAGTTTTTTCAGTTAGGCTCTTTAAGGAAATTAAGGCCATCCTACAATGGTGGCCTTGAGCTTTTAGAAACTGTGTTAATGTTTTTTAGGCCAAGGTTCAGGCCTAGTTGAAAAGAGGATTCAGAAGTTTGGTCAAGGAGAGAGTTTTTGTCATTTCTCAACTGCATTCCTTTCCCACCTGGCCAAAAATCAATTGGCCGTATTTATATGCATCTTATTTGTGGATTCTCTGTTTTGTTCTGTTAACCTATTTGTCTGTCCCTTTGCCAGTATTACATTATTTTGATTACTGTAGCCTTACAGGAAGTCTTAAAATTGCGTGGTATTATTCTTCCAATTTTGTCCTTCTCAAAAAAATGGTTTTCGCTATTCTAGTTTTTCTTTCCATATAAACTTTAGAATCAACTTATCTATATCCATAACAAAACTTTATTAGAATTGTGTTAAGTCTGTGGATAAATTTGGAGAGAACTGAAATATTTGTTGAGTCTTACAAGCCTGCACACCGCATGTCTCTCTATTTATTTATTTATTTATTTATTTATTTATTATTTCTTTCATAGGCATTTCGTGATTTATAGCATAGAAATACCTGTATGTGTTAGATTTATATCTCAGTATTTCATTTGGGTGAGAGCAATTATAAATGACATTTAAAAATTTTAAGTTTCCAATTGTACCTTAATGGTGTTTAGAACTTACTTATTGCATGTGTCAACCTTGCATCTTGTAATATTGCTAAACTCACTTATCAGTCTTAGGAGGATTTTTTTTATATATAGATAACTTGGGGTTTTCTGGATACATAATCATATCATTTGCAATCCTGTTTCCACAGGCAAGCCTCTAACTCAATGGCTATTTTTATTGAACTGAGGTTACTTATTGTAGTCTTTATTCTCGATAAATGCCAGTTTTGCATTAATGCTCAGAACTTCCTCCTTTTCTGGTTAAAAGTGCCTGGTTTTACTCTTTTGTGCTTGCCAAGATACATTGGTTTTGAGAAAGCTTGTTATAAATACAGGGCCAATGAAAACTATGGTCAGTTTCCATTTTTGTTAGATTTTTGCAAAATTTTCTGAAATTTTGTGTGAGAGACTTCAGAAAACCAAAGTATAATTTGCAGAATGGGAGAAAATGTTACACTACACATAGGGCAATTTGAAGACAGTGGCCAGTTTAAAAATCTTTTATTTGGTGTGGCTATCTTGCAAATGCCATTTCTCTACAGGGAAGGACTTTAAAATATAGCTTGTTTGATTTGTACTGCAGGGTACATTAATTAAAATCGTTATTTTGTCACCTAGAAGTTCTGAATTGTGGCGGCATTAGACTCTAAAACTGTATTTTTTAGTAAAAAGGCCAGCAGCAACAAAAGATATTTTAGAACTTATGAAAACGCTTTTCTAACAGTTTATTTATAAGTAAACACAGAGTTTAAAAGAATTTCTGTCCTGTAATTTGTGGAGCAAGTGGAAAATGGTTCTTAGTTCATTTTCTTTTATTAATTGTTGTCTTAGTTCATTCGGGCTGCTATAAGGAAATATCCTAGACTGGGTAGCTTATAAACAACAGAATTTTGTTTCTCACGTTCTAGAGGCTAGGAAGTCCAAGATCAAGGTGCCAGCAGATTCGGTATCTGGTTAGAGCCTACTTTTACTTCACTATGTTCTCACCTGGTAGAAGAGGCGAGGGGTTTCTCTTAAGTCTCTTTTACAAGGATACTAAGTCTCCACCCTCATAATTTAATCACCTTCCAGAGGCACCATCTCTTAATACCAGTCACCTGGGTGTTAGGATTTCAACATTAGAAGTTTGGAGGGATACAGACGTTCAGAACGTAGCAATTATTTTCTGTTTTACTAAAGATTCAGTTACCTTTTCAGTTATTCATTCTTTCCCCTAATATTAAAATAATCTGAAGTAATCTTAAAGTGGAATTTATATACTTGCTATCTCCTTAAGACTGACCATTTCACCACAGACTACTTTTTGTTTTCAACCTGCTCTATTTTAAACACGTGCTAAAAAATTTTGGTTAGTACTCTTTTGAAAGAATATTCTCAATATATGTATAGGGTTTCTCAACAGGTTACTTTCAGTTGACTGTCTTGATCTTGTTTGAATATGTGATTGTGAATCGGCCCCAGATTCTTTCCCCTTTCTCTCCATAGTATTAATAATAACATTTTGATGGGAACTGAACATTATTCCTCTCTTCTGAAAAAGTTTAGGGATTTATCTAGTGGTGTTCTATTTTGATTTTCTCACCTTGGTGTTTTTTGTTTTGTTTTGTTTTGTTTTTAAATAGAATACCTAATTTGACACTCAGTTGCCTCAATGAAATAATGCAGTTTCTGCCTTTTAATAGGACATCTTTCATGCACACCCCTGTATAGTTTTGCCCACATACGAAAACATTATACCCTATAGAGTTGGGCATTCTTGATTAAGTACGACGAAAGGTGTACAACAAAACAGTACTAAATCACTTTAGAATTTTGCCATGAAGATTATAGAGTAAATTGAAGACTTTTATTTGCAAATGGGAAAGTGTGATGTACTAGAGGTTTTTAATGAGAGCATTTTGCTCCACGTGCTGTTTCCACCACTTACTACTTGTGTGGTGCCTTTTATGAAGTTGCGCTAACCTCTTAGAGCTTTACTGTCTCCATTAATAAAAATAGGATGATGTATAATTTTTATATTATAGTAATCACCTTTCAATATGATTGTGAGAGTTAAGAAGGTGCCTTGTAAATTATATAGCATAGTAGAACTATGTGCTATAATGTACAAAAGCTGTCTTTATTTTAAAGTAAATTTAGTCTGAAATGGTTGACATAGTTTGACCAATCTCTCTCTAACTTGCTGTTCAACTTACTCTTCAGGCATTTCTCATCTGTGGTTATACTGGGAGAAATTAAGCTTTAGATACCTTTCTTCTTTTCTGTACTTCTCCTTTACCTGAGGTCTGCCTCTGCCATATAGAAATTAAGAACTAAAGAGTTTGTTGGATTGAAAGAATCAGAAAATGTGCCCTTGGCTGTTATGGGAATCTAATGTTTATTTTGTATTGTAACTTTATTTGGTGAATGCAGAAATAGGCTTAGTAATCAGTTTCTTTTTCCCTCTGAGCATGAATGTGTATAAACATTGATTTTTTTTTTCTGTCTTCTAGTTACAGCAATTGGAACTTGCACAGATACAGCATAGAGATGCTAATCTCACAGCTCTTGCAGCTATTGGACCAAGGAAGAAGAGACCACTAGAATCTGGAATTGAGGTATTGAAATAATGTTCATTATTTTATTTTTAATGTCAAGAAAGCAAGCCAAAAAGAAGCAAAGACTTAAAAATAGTTTACCCTGTTATGCACGTTGTTGCTGCCAGACACTTCTTAAAATTCATCTTTTCCAATTTTATAAAATCTTAATTTTTGCCAGGTTTTAAAGATGTGTATAACCTTGAACTTGTTACTTATTTCATACTACTTGTTACTTATTTCATACTTTTTCTTCCCCCATCTCCAGTCATATTGAGTCTTCCAGTATTTAAATTTTTTTTGTTTCTGTACATTGTTTATAGTGTTTTTATGCAATCCTGTTCCCTCTGTCTAAATCTGGCTAATCTTGTAAGACTGAATCTGCCCTCTTATGTCTTCCATAAACCCTGACTCCTCATTCCCATACCAGCTTCTCTTTTTCTGAGTACATGTGTTTGCATGGCATTAATTGTTTCCTTGTATGAACATTTTCTGTTCTGTTAGATTATAAACTTTTTGAGCAAGGACTATAATATTAGTCTTTTGTATTCCCCATAGAATAGGCACATGTATACTCAATAAATAACCTTAATTATTTGGTTAACACCAAGAAAGGATCTTACTTATATCTTCAGAGTAATTATTTAAGATAATATTAGGGCTGGGCGTGGTGGCTGACGCCTGTAATCCCAGCACTTTGGGAGGCCAAGGCGGACGAATCATGAGGTCAGAAGATCGAGACCATCCTGGCTAACGCGGTGAATCCCCGTCTCTACTAAAAACATAAAAAATTAGCCGGGCGCGGTGGTGGGCGCCTGTAGTCCCAGCTACTCAGGAGGCTGAGGCAGGAGAATGGCGTGAGGCAGGATTGCAGGTGTGAGCCGCCTCACCTGGACAGGAACATCAATATATGCTTAATCTTGTTTCATTTTATTTGCACCAACTTTCTTACATTAAAATTTTCATCCCTTGGATTATTTTAATGTCATCCCCACACTCAACATTTTTTAATACATAAATATTATTTGTTGCTCATGATTTTTATTAACTATTTAAAAATTACCCTCTAAGTTGAATTAGTTTTTATATTCATTAATGTGCCTATCTCACCACACTCCCATTAACACTGGGAACTATCTTTGCCATCTCATGACTGAAAATGCAAGTTTTTATAGAGTGTTAAGTTATGAGTAAGTTGAGCAACTTTTCATGTATAAATAGGCATTTTCAATTTTTCTTTTTCCCATGGAGTTATATTTTTCAATCCATTAAGGAAACAGAACAACTCATTTTCCCTAGCCCCATTTTCTTTTTTTTCTATTTATTTATTTATTCACTTTATTTTTATTTTTTATTATACTTTATGTTCTAGGGTACATGTGCACAATGTGCAGGTTTGTTACATATGTATACATGTGCCATGTTGGTGTGCTGCACCCATTAACTTGTCATTTACATTAGGTATCTCTCCTAATGCTATCCCCCCACCTCCCCCCACCCCACAACAGGCCCTGGTGTGTGATGTTCCCCTTCCTGTGTCCAAGTGATCTCATTGTTCAATTCCCACCTATGAGAGAGAACATGTGGTGTTTGGTTTTCTGTTCTTGCGATAGTTCGCTGAGAATGATGGTTTCCAGCTGCATCCATGTCCCTACAAAGGACATGAACTCATCCTTTTTTATGGCTGCATAGTATTCCGTGGTGTGTATATGCCACATTTTCTTAATCTAGTCTGTCATTGTTGGACATGTGAGTTGGTTCCAAGTCTTTGCTGTTATGAATAGTGCTGCAATAAACATACATGTGCATGTGTCTTTTTAGCAACATGATTTATAATCCTTTGAGTATATACCCAGTAGTGGGATGACTGGGTCACATGGTATTTCTAGTTCTAGATCCTTGAGGAATCACCACACTGTCTTCCACAATGGTTGAACTAGTTTACAGTCCCATCAACAGTGTAAAAGTGTTCCTATTTCTCCACATCCTCTCCAGCACCTGTTGTTTCCTGACTTTTTAATGATCACCATTCTAACTGGTGTGAGATGGTATCTCATTTTGGTTCTGATTTGCATTTCTCTGATGGCTAGTGATAATGAGCATTTTTCCATGTGTCTGTTGGCTGCATAAATGTCTTCTTTTGAGAAGTGTTCATATCCTTTGCCCAGTTTTTGATGGGGTTGTTTGTTTTTTTCTTGTAAATTTGTTTGAGTTCTTTGTAGGTTCTGTATATTAACCCTTTGTCAGATGAGTAGATTGCAAAAATTTTCTCCCATTCTGTAGGTTGCCTGTTCACTCTGATGGTAGTTTCTTCTGCTGCACAGAGCTATTTAGTTTAATTAGATCCCATTTGTCAAATTTGGCTTTTGTTGCTATTGCTTTTGGTGTTTTAGACATGAAGTCCTTGCCCATGCCTGTGTCCTGAATGGTATTGCCTAGGTTTTCTTCTAGGGTTTTTATGGTTTTAGGTGTAACATTTAAGTCTCTAATCCATCTTGAATTAATTTTTGTATAAGGAGTAAGGAAGGGATCCAGTTTCAGCTTTCTACTTACGGCTAGCCAGTTTTCCCAGCACCGTTTATTACATAGAGAACCCTTTCCCCATTTCTTGTTTTTGTCAGGTTTGTCACAGATCAGATGGTTGTAGATGTGTGGTATTATTTCTGAGGGCTCTGTTCTGTTCCATTGGTCTGTATCTCTGTTTTGGTACCAGTACCATGCTGTTTTGGTTACTGTAGCTTGTAGTATAGTTTGAAGTCAGATAGCATGATGCCTCCAGCTTTGTTCTTTTGACTTAGATTATTGTCTTGGCATTGCGGGCTCTTTTTTGGTTCTATATGACCTTTAAAGTAGTTTTTTCCAATTATGTGAAGAAAGTCATTGGTAGCTTAATGGGGATGGCATTGAATCTATAAATTACCTTGGGCAGTATGACCATTTTCACGATATTGATTCTTCCTATCCATGAGCATGGAATGTTCTTCCATTTTGCCCTCTTTTATTTCATTGAGCAGTGGTTTGTAGTTCTCCTTGAAAGAGGTCCTTCACATCCCTTGTAAGTTGGATTCCTAGATATGTTATTCTCTTTGAAGCAGTTGTGAATGGGAGTTCATTTACGATTTGGCTCTCTGTTTGTCAGTTATTGATGTATAAGAATGCTTGTGATTTTTGCACATTGATTTTGTATCCTGAGACTTTGCTGAAGTTGCTTATCAGCTTAAGGAGATTTTGGTACCTAGCCCCATTTTCTTTCAGTTTGTCTGGACTTCATTCATCTAAAAGTTTTTATTTTTCCTTTAAAGAATGTCACAGTCTTTCATTTTTAATTTTTGTCTGTTGGGTTTATATTCTATTTAGAAGGCCCTTTCTTAATTAGAATTATGTGCTACTACTTTTATCATTTCACTTTTTTTTTTTTTTTTTTTTGAGACGGAGTCTCGCTCTGTTGCCCAGGCTGGAGTGCAGTGGTGCGATCTCGGCTCACTGCAAGCTCCACTTCCTGGGTTCATGCCATTCTCCTGCCTCAGCCTCCCAAGTAGCTGGGACTACAGGTGCCCACCACCACGCCTGGCTAATTTTTTTTTTTTGTATTTTTAGTAAGCATAAATCTTTGATTCATAATGAACTCGAGTAAGAGTTGATGTGTGGATTTAGCTTTAGTCCCTCAGTCCTCTCTCATTTTCCCTTAGGCTAGCTAATTGTCCCAACACCATTTACTCAATAATTCTTTCCCTGCTAATTTGAAATGCTACCTTTATCACACACAATTGTATATCAAAAATACAAGTTCTCATATGTATTTGGGTCTGTTTCTGTACACTCTGAACCAGAGTTATCTAATAGAACTTTGTATGATTTTGAAAATGTTTGTGTCTGCAGTGTCCTGAGTAGCCAGATATGGCTGTTGAAATCTTGAAATGTGGCTAGTGAGACTAGAATAAATTTTTAATTTTTTAGTTTAATAAAAATTTTAATAGTCATATGCTGCTAGTGGCCACTATATTGGGCAGCACTGCAGGACTGCCCAATATAGTAGCCCCGTATAGTTCTGTTTATGACTATTTATATATAAGTATCAAACATTTTCTTAACCATCTTATTTTTATGTGTATAATTAAGTAGTGTTAAACACATTCACATTGTTGAAAAGACCTCCAAAACCTTTTCATCTTGTAAAACTAAAATTCTGTACCGGGTAAACAATTCCCCGTTTCTCTGCCAGCCTCTGGTAGCCACCATTCTACTTTCTGTTTCTATGAGTTTGATTACTTAAGTACCTCAGATTAATTTTAATTTTTTTTTTTTTTTTGGTAGAGACAAGGGTCTCACTATGTTGCCCAGGCTGGCCTTGAACTCCTGGCCTCAAGCAGTCCTCCCACTTCTGTCTCCCAAAGTGCTGGGATTATAGGCATGAGCCATACTGTTGGCCTCAAATCTTAATGTAATATGTTTAAAAGTATGGAAGAACTGGCCGGGCATGATGGCTCACACCTGTAATCCCAGCACATTGGGAGGCTGAGGTCGGCAGATTGCTTGAGGTCAGGAGTTTGAGGCCAGCCTGTCCAACATGGTGAAACCGTGTCTGTACTAAAAACACAAAAATTAGCTGGACGTGGTGGCACGTGCCTGTAGTCCCAGCTACTTGAAGGGTTGAGGCAGGAGAATCACATGAACCTGGGAGCCAGAGGTTGCTGTGAGCTGAGATCACATCACTCCATTCCAGCCTGGGCGACAGAGTGAGACTCCATCTCAAAAAAAAAAAGTATGGAAAAACTAGTTCAGCACAGAACTTATCTTTCTGCTAGAAACAACTCTACTGAGTTGTTCTAGTACAGAAAAACTCAGTGCCCTTTGTTTTTGGTCCATTTGTATATGATGTGTATAAATATTTAAATTGGGGTGTGCTATTTCATCATTAAGTATATTCCTATAAATATGCCTTGTTAGCATACATTTTCTTTTGTGGCAAGAATAGTTATTTGTAACTTTTTTCCCTCCATATATTTATAATATTATAATTC